TACACTCAATCACACAATACACACACACATCGCCCAAGAAACACACACCCACACACACTATATATATATATAAGCACACACATACACACAGAGTCCATATATATGTACACGCACACACACAATCCATATATATACAGGCACACACATAGTCATGCAATACACACATCGCCCAGAACTAAAGAAGATCAACACATATTTGAACCTAGATTTGAAGGATGTTGGAGCCAACATCGGAGCAAATAAAGATCTGAACCTAGAATTCGTCTGGTTTTTGTCGGAGTGTGGAGAGAGCAAGACAAGAGAGAAAGCCAAAAAAAAAAAACCAGATAAAGGCAATAATTTTTTTTTTTTATAGTTTGATATGTTTTGTTGCTAAGAAGGTTTGAAGGAGAGACCTCATTAATGAGGAATGGGTTGTTCTCCTTGTTCTCTCATTTCTTTTTCTTTTGTCTGTAAAACACAAAAAACAAGTTGGGCTTGTTTTCTATTTTTTGTTTTCTACATCCATCTTTTTCCAAAATTTAGAGAATAAACATTCAAACCAAACAAGTTTCTCTTGTTTTTTAGAAATTTGAGATCAAAAAACTGTTTTCAAAACTCAAACCAAACAAGCCTTGAAATTTTGGATGATTTTAGTCATAGAGAATTTTTTACTATGGTGGTGAAAGATGGAAAATTGGGAGGAAATATTGTAAATTTCTCAGATAGCATATGACAGTGTTATGTGGTGTATATTATCCATATACATTCTCAATGAATTGATGCCATTGAGAAGTTGTTGGAACTTTTTTTGAAAAAAAATTGAACTTGTGGGTCCAACAAACAAGTATTGTGACGATTTGTCATCATATGTCAGTACCACATGACAGTGTCACCTGGTTCTTATAAGTACACAATATTTTTACTAGACACATAAGATGGGAAACTTTGACATTTAATTTTGGCAACTAATATACCCATAAGTTCTTTAAACGTAGTTCAGTGGTTGAGTCTGATGGGCCAAGCTCAAGGGCCTAACTCATGTTACAAGTCTAAGGGACCAATTCCAAGAGATCCAATTAGCCAAGTCCAAAGGGGTCTGCACCCGGTCAAACTCATCAGGTTCCAAGAGTTACATCAGTAAAGGAGTACGCATGGTCGCCTAAGAGATCATCCAAGAGCCTCCTCTACCACCTTGGAGCAAGGGTCATCCAAGAGCCTCCTCTACCACCTTGTAGCAAGGGTCGTCCAAGAACCTTCTTACCACCTTGGAGTAAGGGAGCATTCATGAGCCTCACCTTCGTAGTCTGGAGAGAATCAACCTCCCTCATCCTTGACCAAGTCCTTTGAAGGGTATTATAACTTCCTTGTCGCTTGAGGAGAGGAAAGGTCGCCAAGATATTTAATTACTATTAAACGGCCCCAACTCGTTATGACCGCCAAACCAGCTATTCAATTACTACACCAAGTCACTATAAATTGTACACCTCACTAACACTTGGGGGGCATTTCATTCATTTGAGCATAACTCTCTTCTCCTCTCTCAAAGCTTGTAACATTCTGGTCTCCTTTCATACCGGAGATAATAAAATACCGACGACCCTTGCCATTCAAAGTAAACGTAGGTCATATTGACCGAACCACTATAAACCTTGTTTTCTCTCTCCCTCTACTTATTTTACTGCATTTTATACTACATACTTGATAGGTGGTGTGTAAACCAATTTGTGCATCATCAGAACCTGTTATTTAATAATTTAGAGATTTTATGTTCAATTTCTTCTCATACTCTGTAAGGGTCAATCACCCCTTATTCATCAGGGATATGCTCTAACCTAGCTCAAATCACGGTGATAGTCGTTGAGTTTCAAAGAGTAGTTGGTTAAGTCTAGATAACTTGTAGCAAAAAGAAAAGAAAACCACCAAAGATATGTGACAATGAGGACAACCATATGACTTTATTCAGGTGTTCATCACTAATTTGGGACCCAAATGGCTTGATGGTAGTGGAGGCTGCACTGGTCAGTGGAGAGTTTATGAAGCATTCCATTTGTGTATGAGACAGGGTTTATGGGACCAGAGCTTGGCACATCCGCCGGAACCTCAATTAAACTATTAGTTACAATATAATACTAATAAATTGCATAGGCCAATCAATCATGAAGATTAGGAGCGAGCCCAAAATTATAAACTCCCATTACACAAATTGTTAGATGTCAATCTTTAACTATTGAGTCGGGTTATTGTCAAACATGACTAACTGATTTTTTGACACGACAAATCTTATTAGCTGATATAGTATAAAGAAAACCCATGAATTTTTTTTTAAATTTTTTTTGAATCGCTAATATGTGAATATTTGCAAAATTAGAGAATTTTTAATTTGATGTTGTAAGCATCTAGCCTAGTAGATTTTTAGTTTATGACAAACTTATTCATTGTTGTTTTAGTTTAGAGCGAAGAACATTGCTAATTTTGCAATTACAATTCGGTCGAATAACTTTGATGTTATGAGTTTGAATATGAGGATAATCACTTTGTATAAATAATGCCGGAAGCTTGAATTTACACCAAATCTATCCCTCCCAAACTCTTATTAATAGGACTAAACTTAGTGTATGTTTGGTATGAATTGGATTTAAAGGAGGGTTTTGTGAGGATAGTTTAATATACCTTCAAAGCTCGTATTTGTTTTAAAATTTGAGACTCGTGATTTATATGATAAATGAATCTCGAGTCACTCTCGACCCGTAGTGAATAGTTGATTGCAACCCACAAAATGGGAGTTTCATGAAATCTACTGGGGGGGGTTTCAAAAGTAAAATGTTGGATTTGTGGATAAAAAGTCTATTTTGTCCAAAAATTTGTTCTTCTATTTACCTAATAATAAACATTTTTAGTAGATTGAGTAATATAATTGTATATATTTTAGCTATTCAATTCAAACCCACCAACAAATAAACAACAAACATGCCCTTAGTATTAATTTTTTTAGGTTGCATTAGTAGGTCGAATTATAATCACGTCACACACGGTTGATTAATAGGTTGAATTATAACCAATTAAAACAAAATATAAACGAAAAATAACATGACCCGGATACACCACAATAGCGTCGTATTGTCATCTTTAATACTTGGTTAAGACTAGTCAACTAAATAAAGCTTATAGCAGATGCTTTTTCAGAAAACATGGAAACTAGTTGGTGCTCGCCGGACGGCTGCATGGGCACCTACTTGCACGTACCCCGAGGATGAAGTTCCGGACGGCTGCCGGCGGTACACAACATGCTACTAGTGCTACGACCCCCCGGCGGCACCCCTACCCCAAAACAATTAAGCACGGCGGAGGGAATTTTATACTTTTCATACATACTTATGTAGAGGTAGAATAATCACAAAGTGGGGTAGTCCGGTGGAATATTGATCGAGCTTTTTACTCTAAAGTTAGAGATTCGAGTTTTGAAGCCCAAGAGTTTACATTGAAAGTGTGTCAGGATCCCACCAATAAAGACCTATTAAAAAACTTTATTTATTGACATTTTATAGTGGAGAATATTATTGTTTTAAATTCGTAAATTAAAGTTGTCAATATATCGTGTCGTGTGTGGTGACATATTGTGATATGTTTATAAGTTGTGTTGTGTCCAATTTGTTAAATTTATTTCCAATTCTTTTATAATTATATAGTCGAGATCGTTTCATATCCGATTTGTATTATATTTAAACATATTTGTGTCGTGTATAATTAAGTTTGTATCAATATATTTATTAAATGAGTTCAACTGTTCAAATTGCTTATTACAACGCAAATCGTAAATGTATATAACCATTCTCAAATCATATAAATCGAGTAAATTATAAATTGTCTTACGAGATTTAAATTTGAGATGATAAGTAAGTAATCTTAAAACCTTTTCATTCACAGTTAGAGGTTGTAATAACTAGTAACTTGTAAGCTCTAGAACTCTAGAAATCTAAAAAAACATAAAAAAGCCAATGTAGGAGAAGGATCTCTTTATTCACACACAACTGACAATTCTTTATCCAAGCATATCTTACAAAACACAACACAAACCAAGAAAAGATGAAGCAGAATAGAGTGGAAACAAAACAAAAAAGCTAAACAAAATCAAATATAGTAGGACTGACTCAGTGACTAGTACTAGTACAACACTTGTTTACTTTATCTTTATTGCCTTCTTTGAAAATGCTTTAACTTTGATGTTTTGAAGACCAAATGGCAGGAGAATTTGCAAGCTACAAGGGGGGGCATTAGATCCAACACCTCTACACATTGCTCACCAATGGGTTGCCCTTTGCTTACCTGACCGAGTCGTTTTGTGCCTAAAACTAAAGGGAAACGACATGCCCAAATGCCCCATTGTGTTGGGACGGCCTTGGGTTTTGTGTAACAGAAGGAAGGCCTCTGTGTGACTCTCTGAGAGAGAGAGAGAGAGAGAGAGAGAGAGAGAGAGAGAACACTTTATTCTGTTCAAGTCCAAAGCTTTGCTGTTAGCAAATTACAAATATCGAGGTTGTTACAAAAAGAAAGAGAAGTTCCGTCTCTCTCTCAACTTTCTCTCTCCATGTTTGCCACATTGTCTACTTCTTAAGCTTCAGAATCAAATCTCACTTCCACGCATGAAAGTGTTGTCTCTCTCTAATCTCTGTGATCTAATTTGACTGAGTCTTGGGTCTTTGTTCTTCTTTCACATAGGTGTATACTTGTGCATGAGAAACGCCCATTCATATCATTAGAAGAGTAACCCAAGAGAAAGAAACCACCTTGTTTGGAGTGTAATGCCAAGAATCTAGATTTCGAGAATCTAAAAGAGGTTCTTCTGAATTAGCTGAAGTTGAAGAATCCCCATTTCTTGTTTGCTCTAATTTGGTGAAGTATTGAGCTTATGTACACAATTTGAGAGGCTTAAGAATTTGAAGCAAAGGAGAGAGTGTAATTTTCTCTTTTGGGATTCATTTGCTTGCGTTTCTGATATATTTGGTGATTCTGGGCAAAACCCAGGTATTGAGGGAAGAGGAGGGAGGGGAAGACAGAAGGAGAGCTGCATGAAGAAGTAGTGAAACAATGAGAGATGAGAATTCCAAGAAAAGCAAGGTTTTTTTTTTTTCTGTTTTTTTCCCTCATTCTTGTGTAAACTTAGTCAATGAGACCATAGAGAAATCTCTAACAATTTCAATATTATGCATACTTCTGGGGTTTTCCTTGCTGAATTTTCTCCTTTTTGGTGAAGTTCTCTTGGTCAAAAAACCTGGTTAGGAAGTGGTTCAATATCAAGGGCAAAACAGAAGAATTTCAAGCTGATGAAGTTGTTTATGGAGGTCAGTATCTAATTTTCCTTCTGGGTTCATCAGAACTGGGGAAAGAAAACAAAATTATGAAGTTTTAATCTTGTTTGTTTATCACATAAGATTGATTTCATGTTCCTGAGGTAAAATTTCAATTTCAACTGACTATATTGTCCACAAGAAAAATATGCTTATCTATGTATTTCAGCCTGTCCTCTCCTAGAACATTAGTCAGACAAAATTTACAATGAAGCTGTTAATATTGTTGATTGGCTAATCTGTCTCTGTCTTAATATGGGAATTCATGTACTAATAACTCTATTCTTTATTTAGGAGGTGATGCTGAATGGAGGAATAGTTTCTCTGAGAGGGAGACATGCACACTCAAGAAAAGTAGAACAGGTTTAGTATCACCACACCAATAATTCTCAAGGACCCTTGTAAATTTACCAAAAACTCGATCTGTTATAAAGTATGACAAAGGAAAATGGAATTTCTTTTCAACTTGGATGTCATCTCATATTTGTAAATCTTCATCTCACTTGAATGCACAGAAAAATCAAGCAAGAATACGGGGCGTGTCCGGAGAGGGAGAGGAAGAGGTAGAGGGTATCTTGATCATCCTCAGATTATAAATGTACAAAACCATAGGTTTGTCTCTTTACTCGATACTCTTCCTGATGATTTGGTTCTTTGGGGTTAGTTATCAATAATGTTCATTTTGAATGGGGGGCAGCATCTTTGTAGGAACATGGAATGTGGGTGGAAAGTCCCCACCAAGTAATTTGAATCTAGAGGACTGGCTACATGGCTCACCTCCAGCAGACATTTATGTACTTGGGTGAGATTTGTTAGATTTGATCTGATTTCTTCTTTAATAAACTTTTGCTAATGTTTGTTTTTTGCTATTTCAGATTTCAAGAAATAGTTCCTTTGAATGCTGGTAATATTCTTGGTGCTGAAGACAATGGCCCTACCAAAAAATGGCAAGCTTTGATTCGGAAAACGCTGAACAATCTTCCTGCAACTAGTGGAGGAAGTGGATGTTATACACCTTCTCCCATCCCTGATCCAGTTGCTGAATACGATGCAGATTTTGAGGGATCAAACAGGCCGAAGGCATCATCCTTCCTCCATCGCCGATCATTCCAGACTCCACACAGCTGGCGAAAGGACAATGACCTATCAATTCCACAACCTCACCTTGATCGGCGATTCAGTGTCTGTGACAAGGTAATCTATGGTCATAGGCCAAGTGACTATGACTCTAATAGCAGATGTGGTCACAGGCGTAGTGACTATGATTCTAGTAGCAGATGGGATCACAGGCCAAGTGATTGTTCCTCAGGTCGTAGGCCAAGTGACTACTCTTGGGGTCAGAGGCCAAGCGACTATTCTTGGGGACAGAGATCGAGTGACTATTCTTGGGGACAGAGATCGAGTGACTATTCTTGGGGTCAGAGACCAAGTGACTATTCCAGATGGGGCTCATCTGATGATGATTATTGGCCTGGAGATTCACCTAGCACTGTGTTATTCTCACCAAGGTCTAATGGTGGATATGCACCGATGGACAATGGATATAGAATGACAGGGCAGTCAAGGTATTGCTTAGTTGCAAGTAAGCAAATGGTTGGCATTTTCCTCACGATTTGGGTAAGGAGTGATTTGAGGGAAAACATTCGGAACATTAAAGTATCTTGTGTTGGCAGAGGATTGATGGGTTACCTGGGGAACAAGGTATCATTTAATGCACATAAAGCTAGTTTTGTTTATGAATTTCAAACAAAGATGATAAAAGGAAGTAAATGAGGCAATTTCATGCTTGGTTTTGCAGGGGTCCATTTCAATCAGCATGTTGTTGCATCAAACTAGCTTTTGTTTCGTTTGCAGTCATTTGACCTCAGGACAAAAGGAAGGTGATGAACTAAGAAGGAATTCAGATGTCATGCAGATCCTTAGGAAGACGAGGTTTCCACGAGTTCATGGCATGGGTGATGAGAAGTCCCCAGAAACAATCCTTGAACATGAGTAAGACCCTTTCTTTTCAACGATCCATTCACTCTAAATTTCGGAACACAGCAAAAAATTTTTTCCCAATTAGTATCACTGTAGCAGCACTATCATTTCACTGTTGTTTCCTACCATATGATATGAGTCTAATTTTTGGTCCTTGTGTTTGGAAATATTCTGATCTTCTATGTCTTGATCAGTCGAATTATTTGGCTTGGGGACCTAAATTATCGGATTGCCCTCTCTTATCGGACTGCTAAGGCACTTGTTGAGATGCAAAACTGGAGAGCACTGTTAGAGAAAGACCAGGCATGAAACATATTTCTTTCTGACTGATTCTTCTCTGTTCCTCTATTTTATGTCTAAACACTTATCTTTGTTTCTTCTACTTAGTAGATGATATTCAACTGAACCATCAATGCTATTCTTGCAGTTACGGATAGAGCAGAGACAGGGTCGTGTTTTTGAGGGATGGAAAGAAGGGAAGATATATTTCCCACCAACATATAAGTATTCTAATAATTCGGACAGATATGCAGGGGATGATATGCACCCAAAGGAGAAACGAAGAACACCTGCCTGGTAAGAACTCTCATGCAAATAGCTATGAACAAATATATGCACATGTCTTACATGCTAGATTATCGATACATAAGTATGAAAATGAGATGCTTTGTTTTGTCTTTCCGTGTATGTTGGGGATGTTAGGGCAGGGGGATTATTTGTGCATTTTAATGATTCCTATTTTTTCTTCTGGTAATTCAAGGCTCTGATCAAAGCTAATTTCATGTGAAAAGGTGTGATCGCATTTTGTGGTATAGAGGAGGCCTTCAGCAATTATCTTATGTGCGCGGGGAATCCAGATTCTCTGATCATAGGCCTGTTTCCAGCATATTCTGGGCTGAGGTTGTGTCAGTCTCCAATCGGTTGAGAAGAAGTATGAGTTATTCAAGCTCCAGCATTGCGGCAGAGGAGCTGTTCCCATATTCCCAGGGCTACACTGAACTCTGCTTTTTTTGAAGGATGGAGGAAATAATTAAGGCTCAGATTTGGGTATGTCCTCTCTCCGTGTTTTTCGTGTATACTGACATTACAAGTTCTAAGTGTTGTGCTGGACTTCCATTTGTCTTTTGATTCTGAGCGTTTTATTCATTTATTTCTATGAAGGAGTGGGCAGTTCAACTTAAGAATGCTTTCCATCAGGCACTAAAGTTAAGCTCTAAGGGCAAATTACTGATTCCAAATGATACTTGTCATTTTACTTAATGGATCCGTGGAAATGGGATCTAACAGGGTCTTGATTCCTGTTGCAATTGAGTTTATCTTTTTTAAAAATCTGCTATGTTTGTTTCATCAATCAACCAGTCGATTTCCCCATTGGACCTATTTTATCTTGTTTTCGGGTTTGGTCAGTTGTGAAGAGCCATGAGATTCCGATACAGTATCTCTCAAGAAATTGATTTATGTGTTGAATGCTCAACATTTGGAATTGCTGAATTCTGTTTTGAAACACTGTTTCGAAAGCAGTCAATTTACTAAACATTTACTTTAGAAATGTCATCTGCATTGGTGCTTTCCTTTGAAATGTTTCCTAAGCTGAATTGTCACACGTTCCCATTCTTATATATCTGTTGGTCCCCAGCTGCAGGCAGGAATTGCTTTGAAGAAACTCGTTGTTGAAGGGCAATGGAGACTTTCCTTCACCCACTAATTGAAAAAGTCAGGCCTCTTTTCTTTTTCTTGGTTTTGCTGCAGATTTCGTTGCTCTTGCCTAATGTTACCCCTCTTTCTCTCATCAGGTGTACATATTTGTAATTTAGGTGGCTAACTTCACATGACAATATTCATTCTTCCATTAACCTCCATTAATTTGTTAGAGAGAATTTATCATTCTGGAGCAGAATTCTACTAAGGGACTACCAAACTCCAACTTTACGGTATCTCTAAGTTCCATACATGAAATTGCAGTCCTGCATAATGACTAGGTACCATGTTTCTTGCTAACTGTTAATCATGTCTGTTCTAAGATTAAAGGCACCTAAATCATCTAGTCTCTAATAAAGTACATCTGTTTGCAGGATGAACTCAACCAAACCAAGAACTGCTAAGTAGGTGAAATGAGGTTTTTTCAATTGTAGATTCTTTATGTGTAGAGTAGAGATTCATTGTGTGAAAGAGGATGAAAGATGGTCAAAATAATCATTTGGGTATTGCCTTTTTGTTTTCAATGAAGAGAGAAGTGAAGATCTGATGTATACACACTGACAAAGTTAAAAGATGTACACAATTTATTTCTATAAGCCCATTGCTGTTTCTGTTGCTGCCAATGATTTAACTGGAAAAGTGGTTTTCTTGGTTACCTTCCATCTGCACTGTGTTTCTTTTTTTACTTTTGCTTTTTGTGTGGGGCTAACAAGAAGCTGCAAAAGCAAAAGACAAGCATACAGATCTTGCAGGTAAATTGGGAGGGAAGAAGGGATGATATGGAAACAGGTGCTAATTCATAAATGTCTTTTACTGTTTACCCTTTGTTTTTTGTATATACTCTTAACTCTCTTTAGATTCCACAGTGACGACGCTAGTCTAGTCACACGTGGGAGTCAGATTGTGTATATCTAAGTCTAGACCTTATGGTGACGGGAGTTTTGAATGATGACCTTTTTCAAAAACTCGATTGTGGCCATTTCTCCAGTTGTCCATTCCACTCCAAAAAGACAATCCTAATCTCATTCACTGTTTTAAAAGTGTAGTTGCAGGTGTTCTAATTTCCTCAAGTGTGGTTGCAGGTCTTCAATTTCCTGAAGTTTTTAATTGCATTAAGAAGCCAAAACATCTTACGAACTAAAGCTTTGAACATCTCTATGATCCATCAATTTTTTAACGCCAAGGGTAGTTCAAATGGTAATAAGGATAAATTGTAAACTCAGATGTGATGAGTTCAAACCTTGACAATTCTTTGGGGTCAAGTCATGAGAGATTTATCTCTTATGAATACCCTAATTCCGACGTGGATGACTTGTCTTTAACCGAATCGGGGAAGGGATTAATCGAAGTGCGTGTAAATTAGTTTGGACACCGTTGAACTATAAGGAATTTTTTTTTCTTATTATTGCTCCTCGACTGAAATACGAAATACGATAAGAAGTTTTCAATTTAATAAATTTTATTTTTGTTGAGAAAAGAAATGAAGCTGTGATTGGTACTTATTACTAATACCATGTTACCAGTACAAAAATCATAAAAATCTACACATCTGCAGCTTCTTTGCTATCTGCTGCTGCTTGCAGTCTATGATTTTACTGAAAAAGCTTGATTTCATTATTATCTAATGTCTTCAGTGTTTTCTTTTTCTTGTGAGGTAGACCAAACTAAAAGGCACCAGGGATATTTTATAGATTTTGCAGGTAGATGGGGAAGTCACAATCTAGAGATTTTTTTTTTTTTGAGACGTCTATTTCCACTATATCTGCAACAAACACCAGAGTGGAAGTGGATTATGCTTTTTGTTTAATATCATGTAATTGTCTTAATCATACGTTGTTTAAATTCATGATTGTAATACAAGTTTTAATCACAAATATACGTAATCATCCGCAAATCACGTGCATAAGTTAAACTGGAGTTTCTAATGAAATGTTGGACTCAAATTCAAAATATACAGATTTACGTATCGTCCTTTGCTCGACCATTGAACCAACCCACTTGGGCTTAAAGTGGATTCATTTTGACATTGAAAGAAACAGATAATTTGTCAAGGCCACTTATTTTGATACCCTACTTTTGGCTTCTGGGATACTCACTTTAGTCAATAGTATTCAGATGTCAGCAATCCTCCCCTCTTGCTTGGACCAAAACTGGGTTTAACAGGCACCACTTTGCCTCTGCTATCAGAGATTGTCCATCAAATCAAAATTTTTATTGCTCTTAGTATGAACATTGTGGTCAATGAAGCAATAAAATTCATAGAGAAGGTGCAAAAATATGAAACAACGAGTCAGTGTGTAGAGTAATGTAAATTCTTCCCAAAAAAAACTTAAACAAAAATATTGATTGATATTATTTTTTTTTGCCAAAATATTACATAATGATAATGATAATGACAATGATGACAATGAAGATAAATTCATAGGTTTGATGCATAAAATAAAGAGTAATATTATTGAGACATATAAAACTGATGATGATGCAGAAATTAATATTGCGTAAGATCAACAGTGAAGAATATAAATTGAAGCAATCAATGAGCAATAAACAAACAATTAATGGTAAAACAATAGATAAAGAGTTAACACAGAGATTTATAATAGTTCAGTTCGGGTGACCTACTCTACTATTGTAAGCGGCAGTGGTGGCCTGAATCTTTTATTAATGGGTAAAATCGCCGGAGAGAGTATTCTCCAGGAGTATTACAGTGCTTACTGGGAGAGAGAGAGAGAGAGAGATGAGTGTGTATAAGGGGAGGTATAGAGGTTTCGAAGGCGTGCCCTCAATACTGAGAGGACGTTCATTATATAGTTAGTGTAAGGCGGTGACGTGAGTGAGTGAGAGGTCTTCCACTATTTTGGTAAGTACAATCTTAGTAGGATTAAATCTCCGTATCTCGGTATTTTTTTTCTCGTGTTCCTATTCTATTGGAGGATGATCCTGAGTTGGACTAGGCTTGACCCTGAGTCTGGATTTGCATTAGAGTGGGCTGGACTTGAGTTGGAGTAGCCAGGAGAAGGGAACGAAGAAGGAACTAGGAGGGCCAGCACTGGGTGGCACCTGGCTTGGGGATGACCTGGGCGACGCCCTCTAATGCTTTGGGCGGCGCCTTCTTGGGTGCTTCTTTTGGCTTGGGTTTCATTTGATTCCTTCTTGAGTTTGTGGACAAGTCCAACTCCCTTTTTCACTATTTAACACCCACTTTCACTATTTAACACTCATTTTCACTATTCAACAACCATAACACCATCTTNGAAGTGGATTATGCTTTTTGTTTAATATCATGTAATTGTCTTAATCATACGTTGTTTAAATTCATGATTGTAATACAAGTTTTAATCACAAATATACGTAATCATCCGCAAATCACGTGCATAAGTTAAACTGGAGTTTCTAATGAAATGTTGGACTCAAATTCAAAATATACAGATTTACGTATCGTCCTTTGCTCGACCATTGAACCAACCCACTTGGGCTTAAAGTGGATTCATTTTGACATTGAAAGAAACAGATAATTTGTCAAGGCCACTTATTTTGATACCCTACTTTTGGCTTCTGGGATACTCACTTTAGTCAATAGTATTCAGATGTCAGCAATCCTCCCCTCTTGCTTGGACCAAAACTGGGTTTAACAGGCACCACTTTGCCTCTGCTATCAGAGATTGTCCATCAAATCAAAATTTTTATTGCTCTTAGTATGAACATTGTGGTCAATGAAGCAATAAAATTCATAGAGAAGGTGCAAAAATATGAAACAACGAGTCAGTGTGTAGAGTAATGTAAATTCTTCCCAAAAAAAACTTAAACAAAAATATTGATTGATATTATTTTTTTTTGCCAAAATATTACATAATGATAATGATAATGACAATGATGACAATGAAGATAAATTCATAGGTTTGATGCATAAAATAAAGAGTAATATTATTGAGACATATAAAACTGATGATGATGCAGAAATTAATATTGCGTAAGATCAACAGTGAAGAATATAAATTGAAGCAATCAATGAGCAATAAACAAACAATTAATGGTAAAACAATAGATAAAGAGTTAACACAGAGATTTATAATAGTTCAGTTCGGGTGACCTACTCTACTATTGTAAGCGGCAGTGGTGGCCTGAATCTTTTATTAATGGGTAAAATCGCCGGAGAGAGTATTCTCCAGGAGTATTACAGTGCTTACTGGGAGAGAGAGAGAGAGAGAGATGAGTGTGTATAAGGGGAGGTATAGAGGTTTCGAAGGCGTGCCCTCAATACTGAGAGGACGTTCATTATATAGTTAGTGTAAGGCGGTGACGTGAGTGAGTGAGAGGTCTTCCACTATTTTGGTAAGTACAATCTTAGTAGGATTAAATCTCCGTATCTCGGTATTTTTTTTCTCGTGTTCCTATTCTATTGGAGGATGATCCTGAGTTGGACTAGGCTTGACCCTGAGTCTGGATTTGCATTAGAGTGGGCTGGACTTGAGTTGGAGTAGCCAGGAGAAGGGAACGAAGAAGGAACTAGGAGGGCCAGCACTGGGTGGCACCTGGCTTGGGGATGACCTGGGCGACGCCCTCTAATGCTTTGGGCGGCGCCTTCTTGGGTGCTTCTTTTGGCTTGGGTTTCATTTGATTCCTTCTTGAGTTTGTGGACAAGTCCAACTCCCTTTTTCACTATTTAACACCCACTTTCACTATTTAACACTCATTTTCACTATTCAACAACCATAACACCATCTTCACTATTCAACACCCATTTTCATTATTCAACTCCCTTTAGGCTCCAGTGATTTGGACTCCTTTTGATGGGTAAACCCATATTTGATTGAGCTTTCTTGGTTTATTTAAATTGGGCCTAGTCCAGTTAATTTTGGGTTCATCATTTGCCCCTCATGTCCAAGCCTCTGACTTTTTTGCCACAGGAAGGGGCTGTGGGCATGTGCTTTGTCTTCATCTAGGTGAGTCGGAATTTTTTTTGCTTCCCAAGGTATCTTTTCATCCTCAAGGACTCGTTGAATTTTTCATTTTTTTCTTGCACTGTTTCTTTGTATATAAATAGAGGTTACTATTCATCTTATCTTCCTCCATTTCTTACGGTACATCTCACTGTTCAATTGTTCAACTCCATTTCTACTGTTCATCACCGTGGAGTTCACGGTTCAACACCCTTTCTCACTATTCAACACTACTTTTCACTATCCAACACCATTTTTTACTATTCAACACCACTTTTCACTATTCAACCACCTTTTCACTATTCAACACAATTTTTTTACTATTCAACACTACTTTTCACTATTCAACCCCTTTTTCTACTATTCAACGCCTTTTTTCTTTTTCAACACTTATGCAAACTAGGGGCTTAAAAATTCATGAAGTGAAGCAAAGAAAAGCTCGTGGCCTTGATCCCATAGGCGGCGCCCATAAGGGTGACAAGGTGGGCGGCACCCATGGTGGTGCTTATATAGAGGGCGGCGCCCATGTCTCTACTTTTGCACGCGACGCCCCTTGTTCATTTGTTGATGGCGCCCAAGTTTTGGACCATGGAATAGAGGAGCAAAGAGGAGGTGATAAAGGCGCGGGGGGCCCCATGGTGGGCGGCCATACCCTGGGTAGCGCCCCCTTGGGCGACGCCAAGGACTTGGGTGACCCCTTTTCGGGCCTTGGTCACTTGGGTAAGAGGAGAGAGGCCCTTTTGAATTCTTGGTGCTCGATTGGGTACAAGCAAGGGGCTTCAGTGGAGGGAGGTGTCAGTGCTTTGAGTGACAACAGGAGACTGGGCAGGCGCCTTGGGTGACACCAGGAGGTTGGCAGGAGGCCTTGGGCGACGCCAGAAGGCCTTGTGTGCTGATGTGTTTAGGCGAAACCTTGAGTCTTGTTATGGGCGGCGCCTCTCTGGTACTTAGTCACTAACTGACCTTATCTCTAATTATAGACGCCCAGTTGATAGAGTGATGGTGGAGACTCTCCGTGCTTTTAGGGTGGTGTCTTCTCCTCTTCCCAAGAGGGCGAGGTTTGATGCCCCCAGTGCTTCTCGATCAAGGTCTGATGTCTAGGTTACTCCACATAGCTGTCTTGCTTTGACTTGACTTTGGTGAACAAGAGGTTTTGGAGGTTTGTGACCTTTGCGATATCAGAGAGGCAGACACGGGGGCTGCTGAAAAGCAAGTAGGGCTCGGGTGGCAGGCACGAGAGGGTGCCACAGAGCAGTAGGGCTTGGGTGATAGGCACGAGAGGATGCCAATAAGGCTTGGGTGGCAGGCACAAGAGGATGCCGCGAAGCAAGTAGGACTTGAGCAGTAGGCACGAGAGGATGCCACTGAGCAGTTGAGGCTAGTGCACAAGAGGGCTGCCCATCTAGAGGCTAACCTTTGAGTAGGACTTGAGATAACTACTAGGGTAGAGACTTATTCTATGGAAATGAGGAGGGCGTTGAGGAGCTGGGCGCCTGAGGTGTTGGATGCCTGGTGAGAGAGGGCGAGACTTATCGTCTAGGCAACATGGGAGGCTACCAAGGTGGAGAGCTCGTCTAACGGCATCAAAGGGGCACCTAATGTGGAGAGGGCGAGACCCCTTATCTAGGCGACATCATGGGGGGCGCCCAAGATGAAGAGGACGAGACCACTCATCTGGGTGCCTAATGATGGGCGTCTGGGGCTAGGCTCCTAGTGCTGGGAGCCTGAGGCTGGGCGCTTGCTGCTGTGCGCTTTTTGTCTTTTTGTCTACCTTTTTGTTAGGTCATAAGCTGTTTGAAATGAAAGAAAGACAGTTATGAACATAATAATCTTCATAAAATTTTATTTCATAAAATAATGAATAACAAAATAAATCAACTGAAACGATAAAAGATAGATGAAATCTTCAGACGTTTGATGTTCCATAGGTGGGCCCATGTTTCCCTGGCGGAGTTGGAGTTGTATTCTCTTCCTGGCCCTCAGGAGATCGTCTGAATTTCTCTGAAGGGTTGTTGGCATTCTCTGTCATCCTGATCCCGGCCAGGTGGTGGGGCTTGTCCTCTGCCAACAACGTGCTACCTCAACTGGCTACGTTGTATGAGCTCCTCAATCTACCTCTTGAGCTCATAGCAGTCATCAGTGTCGTGGTCATGGTCAGGGTGGAAAGCGACAGTACCTGCTGTGATTTCAGTGGTTTGGGACGGATTTCATTTTTTCAGGCCAGTGGAGCGTGGGTCATCCTATATCTGGAATAAGATGTGCTCCACTGAGACGTTGAGTGGCATGAAAGGATGTCGTTCTCTCGGGGGGTACGGACAAAGACGGTCCTTGATAGAGACTCTTTCGGTTCTCTTTCTCTTGTTCTCTGCCTCCCACCTGTCTTCACGGACGTCCTTCCTTTTCTCGGCCCCATGGGAGGATTCACCTCTTCTGGCCTTGGTGACATCCTCGGTGTTCATGTATTTTTTGTTCCCTAGATAGCAGTTCGGGCATGCTAGAGGGTGACTTCTTAAGTACGGAGAACATGAAATTAGAGGTGTGAAGACCAGCTATAAAGGCAGCCAAGACTACCTTATCATCCGGCTCTTCGATCTGAGCACCTCCTCATTGAAATGGGTAAGGTAGTCTCTGAGGCTTTCATCCTTGTCTTGTTTGATTGTGAGCAGACGGGTCATTAGTTTTTGATGTCGGCATCCACCAATGAAGTGGGAGACGAATGACCTACTGAGTTATGAAAAAGAACAAATGAAGGAAGGTTTGATCTTGGAGAATCACTGGCGGGTAGACCCCTTCAAGGTGGTAGGAAAAACTCTACACATAATTTCCTTAGGCACGTTGTGGAGTTGCATGAATGACTTATATGTGTCAAGATGGTCGAGGGGGTCTTTGGTGCCATCGACGATCTCGATAGTGGGTATCTTGAATTTCGAAGGCAGAGGGTAATTGGTAATATTAGCAATAAAAGGCGTATCAGTGCGTCTTACCAAGTAGTCCACGGTTTCAGGCACCTGTGCTTTGATGGCATTGAGAGCATCACCAAATTGGTTTTGTACCTCCCTAATCTTCTAGTCCCAATGATTGGGGACATTGTTAGTCAGGTGATGGTATTGACTTTCATTGTCTCCATATTGGTTTTCTCCGTCTTTGTTCTCCTGCACTGGTTCATGAGGAGGGGGAACTCGTGAACTCTCTGCGTGCTGAGGAGGGACTGTTGAGCGAGGGGTGTCCTGATGCAGCCCTGGAGTGTTCTAGCGACAGGCCCCATGGTAGGGGGCTGCTTGGCGCTCAGAAAGGACAAGTTGTTGCTCCTTTCCTGTTGGAGAGAGTGGAGCTCCTCCCATAGGGTGAGGGGTTATGCCCCCTTGGGCGAGCATGAGTTGGATGATCTGCTAGTTTTGGCTCACCAACAACTGAATGGTTTGGAGGAGCGGTTGTTTTTGCCCGGTGGGAGTCGTAGTAGTAGATGGTTCAGATGGTGCGAGGGGAGACAGAGTGTCCTCCTGGTGAGCCGGGTTTATTCTCTCCCGGCTGTTGGCTCATTGAACGGGTAGTGATTGTCATTGATTGAAAGAGAAAGTAGAAAAACTAGTCGTGTCACACAGATGACGCCAAACTGATGATACACAAATTGGTATTGCGCAAGATCAACAGTGAAAAATATAAACTGAGACAATCAATGAGCAATAAACAGATAATTAATGGTAAATCAGTAAATAGAGAGCTAACACAAGGATTTATAGTGGTTCGATTCGGGTGACCTACTCCACTCTCGAAAACGACAGCGGTGACCTGAGTCTTTTATTAATGGGTGAAATCGTCGAAGAGAGTATTCTCCAGGAATATTACAATGCTTACAAGGAGAGAGAGAGAGAGAGATGAGTGTGTATAAGGGGAGGTGTAGAGGCTTCGGAGGCGTGCCCTTAGTACTAAGAGGGTGTTCATAATATAATTAGGGTAAGACGGTGACATGAGTAAGTGAGAGGTCTTTCACTATTTTGATAAGTACAATCTTAGTAGGATTAAATCTTCATATCTCGATAATCTTTCTCTCGTGTTTCTATTCCATTGGAGGATGATCCTGAGTCGAACTGGGCTTGACCCTAAGTCTGGACTGGCATTAGAGTGGGCTAGACTTGAGTTGGAGTGGCCAGGAGAAGGGAACGAAGAAGGAACCAGGAGGGCCAGCACTGGGCGGCGCCTGGCTTGGGGATGACCTGGGCGATGCCCTCTAATGCTTTGGGCGGCGCCTTCTTGGGTGCTTCCTTTGGCTTGGGTTCCATTTGATTCCTTCTTGATTTGTGAACAAGTCCAACTCCCTTTCTCACTATTCCACACCCATTTTACTATTCAACACCCATAACACCATCCTCACTATTCGACACCCATTTTCACTATTCAACTCTCTTTAGGTTCCAGTGATTTAGACTCCTTTTGATGGGTAAACTTAGCTTTGATTGGGCTTTCTTGATTTATTTAAATTGGGCTTAATTCAATTAATTTTGAACTCAACTGATATAATTTATAAACATAATGATATGTTAAGTGCTAAAATTATAATAAAAAAAATTCAAGAGTTATCATCACAAATAACTTGACGTACTCAAGTGATTTTCATGTCTAAGTGTGGTGTACTCAAGTAAGTTTTCATGTCTAAGTTTGGTGTAGCCCTCAATAAGGGATTTACGGCCTTAGGCTGTTAGGTGTAAGTTTGGTATACTTGAGTGATTTTCATGACATAAACAGTCTAAGAGGGTAGAACTAAAGTACGCAATCTGAATTGGTGTACTCAAGTGATTTTTACGTCATCATCGTAGATGATATAAACAGTTTGAGAAAATAGAACTCAGGTACGCACTCTGAATTATAATTACGCAATATTTATATTCTATCACACTTAAGTGTCGATTAATTTAAGTATCAAAAAGGATAAATTAAATACACATCTGACCTCTTTTTAATTTCTTTATTCGTTCCAAGAATCTCATCTCAAACTTAGTCAAGAGTCACAATCTCAAACCATGTTTAGGAATATAAAAATATTAATTAAAATTAATTTATTGATCTTTTTTATTAATTCAATTTATTATATCTCTTTAAGCTTTTTAATGGCAAGAAAAAAAAAAAAAAATAGGAGAAGGAAAACACATACTGCGTTTCGGCTGTCTAAGTATTCTTGTGCTCCAAGACGCTAAGCTAAGCTTACCTATTTGATTTGAGATCACTCTCATCCAGCAGAGAGAGAGATCTGAAAAATACAGAAACCCAGAGAAAATGGAGAGTGTATTCGGATTGGTGGGCAAGGGTTTTGCTTTGGTGGTGGCCGATTCATCGGCGGTTCATAGCATACTGGTCCACAAATCCAACGAAGACAAGATCATGATTCTTGATTCTCACAAGCTCATGGGCGCTAGCGGCGAAGCTGGTGATAGGTCCCCTCCTCTCTCTCTCTCTCTCTAACCTACAAACATGTATTGTATTATTGATTGAAATCAAGTTGTGATCTGTGTATAATCCGAAATTCTCTTTCTTTGTTTCAATATGGATTCCTGATTTGTGGTGATTTGGGGTTTTTTTTTGTGTGGGTATTTTTAGAGCTCAATTTACGGAGTATATACAGAAGAATGTGGCGTTGTATCAGTTCCGGAATGGAATTCCGTTGACTACTCCTGCTGCTGCAAATTTCACCCGAGGCGAGCTTGCTACTGCCTTGCGAAAGGTATGATTTTTTTTTCACAGGTATTTATGCTTCTATGGTTTACATTTACTGTTGCTTACTTTGTGGTGTAATTTTAGGGTTTTTGTTTTGGGGAAAATTTTAGGGTTTAATTTATAGGAGGTCAGAGGTGTTAATTTGGTATAATTGATTCGAAAGCAATTATTTATCTTGAATGTTGGACGCAGTGGATGCTCCATATGCAACTCAAACATGCATTGTGTTGTGGACCTTGTGGTGAGTACTTAACACATTAAAGAGCAGTATATCCTATATCTTAGAGATATATGTGAATCAACAATATCATACTATGCTTCTAAGGAAGGAATGCAGGCACCTAGAAAGGGGGGTGGAACGTACATGGAAGATGAAGTTGCAAATAATGGTGTAATTTTCATGGCAGATTTGGTATGCTCTGTTATGCTGCATTTGGGAGCATGATATTTGGGTCTTGGAAATTTTATTAGGGACAATTAGTTTTTATTTAGAATACGATTTGCTCAGTTGTGATAATAACATGATTACACCTGCAAAAAGGCATTAAGAGGAAGAATAGAGAGGTGGCCAGCTCTCTCTATGTCGGAAACTAATCAAACGCTTTATTTTGTTTTCAATATTTTTGCTCAATTGTGACAGGAAGGCCTCAGTTCCATGTTGTCATCCAGCACCAGGGGTAATCATCACACAGAGCCTTAAGTCTGTTCATGTTAGAGCCTGACCAGAAAACGCGTATTTGTATCAATTTTTTCTTCTGACTTCTTTAAAACATATATCTTTAGTGGCTTGCTTAGTATTTACTTATTTTTGATAAAGCATGGATGAATATAGGTATATGGTTATTGGTCGGTCCTATCAAGAATTAAATGTAGTCATACGATAGGGAAGAAGGGATGCCTTTTTCTCGCAGGAATGAATGGATGCTAAAGAAATTGATGTTCTGTCCAATTATTCTCCTTCAAAATAAATTTTGGTAACGACTCTGTAAGGCTTTAGGTGACATGAAACAGGCTATAGAATGATTCAGTGCACAAGCTTCAAACTTGTTCAATTTCCGCTTATGAAAACAGTATATGCCCTTTTCAAATGTGAGAACACCATTATTGTTGTGTGATATTTGGTTATGCCTAACTCTTGTTTGTTTGGTTTGAAATGAGCTCTACAATATATATGTGCTTCTCTTCATAGTGTGTAAAAGTTCTATTAGCAGCTTCTTCTGTTCTGCTAATGGTGGTCATTGTTTGGGAATCATTATTGGGTCATTTCATTTGTAAAGGATTCAAAACACAAATCTGAAAAAAATTCCATAAAAAAAAAAGTGAACTTAAATCCGAAGTCTAAACTAGTTATTAGCATTTTAGGCACTGTATTGGAGTTGACATTGAATTCTTTTCTTTGTTTCTTAATGAGGTTGTCAAGATGATTGAAAGGAAAGAAGAGTGAAAATCTTTGTTCGTAGGAACTGCCTGTGACATCAAAAGTAGAGTTCTGTTGAATAGGAATGGTATTTCCGGCAGCAAAGTTTGGGATAGGGTTAGCTCAATGTATTGAAATCGATTACTTCCTATTGGGATTGACATCGATCCTCGATTATATTTCTCGAGTCTTGAATTAAGCAGCAGCAAAATGCTGTGGAATCTTCTGGATGTTTAGTTAAAAAAAAAAAATGCATTCTTTTGGGGTCGCACATTATTTTTTCAGATGCTACCTATATAGTTGTTTCTTTTTTTGGCATGTAAAAATCTTTCTTATCTGGACTGTGTACGGAATCAAATATACATGGAACATGGAATGAATAATGAACTTTTGTGGCCATTTGTAACCTGGCCTTTACTTTCAGTTTATTGGTCTGATTTCAACATGCAACATGGCTGAACTATTGCATTTGGTGTACAGAACCCATATATGGTGAATATCATTCTGGCTGGCTATGACAAGGAGACAGGCCCTTCTCTATACTTCATTGATTATATAGCTACACTTCACAAGGTTGACAAGGCTGCATTTGGTTATGGCTCTTATTTCTCACTTGCCATGATGGATAGACACTACCGGAATGACATGTCAGTGGAAGAAGCTATTGATTTGATTGACAAGTGCATAATGGAGATACGATCCAGGCTGGTTGTGGCCCCGCCAAATTTCGTTATCAAAATTGTTGACAAGGATGGAGCGCGGGAGTATGCATGGCGTGAATCTATTAAGGATGCCTCCATTCCTGCCGCCTGAGGTTTTCTTTGGATGCTACTAGATTTTCGTCTCCCTCTTGATTCTTGGTGTCAGTTTGGACATCTTACATGACTGTTGAATTATCAATTTCCTGAAGTGATTGTTTGATTTTGTGATATGCCTCAATTTGTTACAATTTGGTAAAGCCACTTGTATTATTTGTCAATGAGTGAATTTGTCATGTCCTTTGTTTTCCCATTTAGCTATAACCATTCAGCCATGGATGGTTAGCGGGGATCCTCATATGTTGAACAAAATAGTGAATCAACAAACAAAAAGCTTCATTATAGCCATCACAAAGGTGGTAGTAATGCATCTATTGTAGAACTGTGATGATTAAAAAAGAAAATTATATAAAATTATGATATAAAAGCATAAAGAGTCACTGCTAGCAATAGTTTTGGATATAACATCCTATAGGTCTTATCTCCACCATGTGATGTTGAGTTCCAGCTACTAGAAATGCTCAAATTCGTAGCAGCATTGCTACCCAGAGGTGCTTGTAATGCAGCTATTGTAGAACTGTTATCTGGAGTGCTCGAGTTTGATGGTATGTGTACCGTGCCCGGGGGTGAAGGCACAAGCAAATTATTTGGATCAGAAGGCTGGGGTGGCTCCTTTACTATGTCTGGTGGAAGTGGCACTGTCATTGGCAGCTCTGGTGGCTTCAGTGGGGTATCAGGTGGAAGAAGCACCGGTTCTGGACTAGCCGGTGGGTGTAGTTCTGGAAATGGATCTCAAAGCAAACACAAACAAAAGAACCGTTAGCAATTGTGGATAAAGTAATTCATCATTTTGTTCCTTGGGGATGGTTGTAATTAAGAGAATCTGGATTAGGATTAGGCAAATACCTAGACATTGTGTCAATGGAGGTATCGATATATAGCAGGTCGAGAATTGCAGTGAAAGTTTGCTGCTCAAGAGAGGACTAGTTGATGCCAGCAGCAAGCACAAGCAGTAGACTCCAGCCTGAACTGCTTGATTAAGTGCTTTGCAACAGGACTCAAAGGGGATAGAATTTTTACCTTGATTCAAGCACTGGGCAAGCTCTATGCCTATGCCCTGAAGGGAACATGCTTGCATTTGAGCCTTTATAGTTGAAGGTGAAACACACAATAAAAACAAGAAAACCGAAGTAAACCAGATAAAATCCATTCCCTCTAAATCAATGAGTGAACCCAAAATCTATAAGACAATATATCAACCTCTTGAACACTATTAGCAGAATATTTGGTTTGTGACAGAACCCTTTTGCATGCCTTAACCTACTCAGGTCATTCCCTTAGTGCCTTATTCCTTAGCATGTTTGCTTATTCTTTGCTATTGTATGACTAGTGTTGAACAGAGAAATCATTACAATTTGTATGAGTATTAGCATTTTGGTCTTCTCTCCTACATTTAGTCTGGTTTGACCATATTCTCATGCAATTTACATGAGACAACTTGTCATTCCATTTCTGTCCTGAACAAATAACAATATCTGGTATTGCCTAGCACAGTTGAAGTATGTCTGTCATAGTTTTAAGGGTGATTTTGTGATCTCATATCGATCACGGGGGTTGAATTCAGTCAGTGAACAACAACATTCCCTCAACAACCTTGGAGGGTAAAATTTGGTGACTGATGCACAAATTAAGCATCAACGGTTCATGAAACTGAATGGGTCATATACTTCACTTCCAATCACAAGTTGTGTCAATCTAGCTGGTAATGTGATATGGAAACATTGGAAGATCAAACTGGCCCCGATCAATCAGAATGTTTCTGCCCAGAACCCTTGATCTTGGTAGTTATGAATATTTGCTATGGGGACACATCATTATGGATATATAGACATTTTTTTTAAAAAGAAACAATGATTTCATTAATCATAAAAGACAAAATTACAATAGACATGTCAAAGTTGGACAAGACATCCAAAAACTAAGACATGAAAAAAGGAGAAAAAAAAAAAAAAAAGCAAAAACCAAAATAACCAGTGCAACGTCAATTCACTGCATTCCACATAATGCTGCCCAGCTTAAAACAATACAAGAAAGAGGGATAACTTCAAAATCTTTAGACACAGAGGTCCAAAAGGAAGCCAAAATGTAAATCCGTTCCCAAAGATTTTCAACCTCCTCGCATTTACCATCAAAAATCCTTGCGCTCCTTTCCAATTATATCACCCAAACAATAGCATTCCATGCACAACACCAAAAAGTCTTCCGCTTCCTATTCCCTCCTCCACTCAAAACATCGAAAACATACTTCGTGGTGCCACCCAACGATGCCCAGCAAATCTAAACAACTTACTCCATAATGAGAATGCAATAGGACAATGAAGAAATAAATGATCAACACTCTCCTCACTAGCTTTAATAAATAGACATTTTGCCCATCATCTTATTCAGGAAGTTCTAAAACCCAAGGCTAGAATTGAGAAAAAGAAACTGTTTCTGTGTTTCATAAGAACATTAGAACTGCAAAGCGGCTCATACTCTTTAATATCTATAATACTAATCGATTATCTGAACAAGCCAATAACAACAGATCATACATCTGAAACGTAATGATGAATACATTTTAATAAAGACAGCAAACTAATAATACTTCAATGCAAAGGCTGCTACTGCAGCTAACAAAACAGAAGGTGAGAACTTGTGGGAGGGATTGGCAGCTGACGAGGTAAGATCTGGTCGTATCCCTGAATTCTCTGTTGGAAATTGAGAATTAAATGTTGAAGGTGGGGGAGAAAGATCTGGCGTTGTATCAGCTTCCGGTGCCAAAGTTGGTGACATTGGTTCGGTATCAGTAGAATCTGCCAACAGAAAACCAAACTTTGATGTTATAGTGATGTTTTCAGGAAACTAGGTACTGTCATATTCGATCATAGAGCGAGAAAATGAAGGACTTATTAGAAGTGATTACCACTACCTGCAGGATTTGGAAAAGCAGAAGCTGTAGGAGACATAATTGGTCCAAACGCCTCTGGGCCTGTCAATTAGAATTAGAACCAATTAAGCTAGAGCTTTTTGTAATTGAAAACACACAACAAATGTGCTTTTGGTGGTTGGACCCTGCTCACATGAGAATCCTAGTATCAAAGGAATTTGATTTTACGGTACCTGGAGCTGGAATTGGGGCACTCATGGCTGCAATTGAAAAACTAAGAATCAGAATTCATTGCTTTGTAAATTGATGGGTCAGTTCTTGAAAATGAAGGCGCAAACAGATTTTTTCGTTTAATAAATGAGACAAGCACGTGTTTATGCATAATAGTGATGCAATAACTAAATTCTAATGTTAAAAAAATGGTAAGATTTCACCTTCACACTGGACAGGCACTCCAGGAAGGTTACAAGCACGTGGGAGAGACATGGCAACAGTTCGATTAATGGGTATTTGCCAGGGGGCATTTGCAGTTACGAGAAGGCATAAACAATCCATGCCATTGCCCATAAGTGACCGGAGCGAATTGCAACAGTCTGCAGTTGGTGAAATCCCGTTGTAGGTACTATTAGTGAGAAGATTCATGCAAGGGGTGAAGCTGGTGACGAGGGAAGCCATGCACGGTATCCTGGTCTGGCCATAAACTGGCATAACTTGAATCATTAAAGCAACAGCCAGAGCTGGAACTAAGTGCGAAAATGCCATAAATGTCGTGTTTCTTGGTTTTTTTTTTTCTTTCTGTTGTGATATTGGGGATATGTCTTGTAGAGATTAATGGAGTTGAGGAAATTAGGGTGGTGAAAGGCAAAATGTAGACGACTGGATTGAAAAATGTGCAGATGGAGGGGGAGAGAAAAAGGAGGAAGGTATATATAGATGGAGAGTTTGAAGTACACAGAACTAGAGGGAATAACTTGTATTGTTGGGGGTGGGGAGGGGTTAAATAGCAGACTTGGAGTTTGTTTGAGCTCAACTACCTTAACTAACTCTCTGAAGGATTGGGGTGTAGGTGAGTAGTTTGTGGCTTAGTTGTCATGCTGTAAAACCATTTTGATTTTTGAAAAATATAATCCGTTTTTGACTTGGGTTCTGGCTTGACCTATAATAACTATGCATATTGATCAATTCCAGATGCTCTGCAATGGTGTGGCTCTTTTTTCTTTAATTCTTTCGTCAGGCAAACTATCCTCATGTTACCACTCGAGCCGGTGTTCTAGTACTAAGTCGTATTTGTTTAGGGTTGTTCTTGATTATGTGGTTATGAAGTAAGATTCAATTCACAAGGGAGCAACGTAGTTTGTTTTTTTGGCTGGTACTATGGTGAAGGATTGCTCTTTCTGGTTTGTAGTTATGACTCAAACTTGGCATTTTACAGTCGGCGATCTTCATGATCTCGCTCAAAAGGAATTTTACGTACTGAACCTCCCTTACCCTTTTAAACAAAAAAAAAAAAAAATCTTCAAAAGTCTATTTGGCATTTTCTTTAGGGTGGGTCTTATCATTTAGTTCGTATCACATTTGGATTAGACTATTTTGAATTGTGTCATATTCTAGTTAACTCCTCTAATCTGTTTATTTGTATCATATTTGCATTGTATTATTTTTAATTGTGTTTTATTTGATTGAAATGTATAATCTGTGTATTTAAATCTTAATACAAAGACCCTATTCTTTTTCAATCGAATCCAGCACACATAGATCCTCGATTAATCAAAAATCAACTTCATTCATCTCCTAGTAAAACAAAATACAAAAATAATTTTATTTCATTAAAATTTATATAAAATATTAGATCAATAAATGCAAAGTATAATCGAATCAAATATATATTTTTTTTATATATTACCACTTAAACAAAATCGCCCTGTTAAAATTGATTTACTCATACTTAATATTAAATTAATTAATTTTTTATTCATGTTAATTGATGGTATTATTTTTTAATGAAGATTGTCAAACGTAGCTCGAGGTGCGCCAGATAATAACAACCTTCTCCAGAGAAACAATGCCACGTGTCTTGTAGGCGCCAGATAATAACAACCTTCTCCAGAGAAACAATGCCACGTGTCTTGTAGTGGTTGGATTATTTGACTTATATGTTCACCAATCATTTTGTGCCATGTATGTTGCCTCGAGTCAGCTTTTGATTGTGCCAAGTGGCATTTATGGCCTAGAGCGTATAAAAAAAAAAAAATACTATATTTACGAAATTTCATTTCCACATTTTTTATTGCAAATGATGTGACATAATTTCTATTATAGAATATTAATAAGATCCATTTATCTAATGGTAAAAATAATTCCACATTATTTAGGATAAAAATTTGGTAAGTATAATATTACCCGTAAAATATATCAATTGAGCTTCTTTTTGTACATATTTTATTTATACTTCTTTTTTCTTCTATTAAAGACGGAAGATGATAAAATTTGAACTTGTAATTTTAATGGATCATTTGATAAGAAAAATAAAAAAATTGAAGGAAAGAAAATTATACGTGATATAGTTTCCATCCTCAAAGGAAAGAAATATTATTTCCCTCCTTTTGGTTTGGTCGAATCGATGAAAATATTATTTCTCTCTCATTTTCCTCTCCCTCTCCCTCTCATTTTCCACCTAAACCAAGCAATAGAAAATTACTCTTTTTGTCCAATTTTTCATCTATGAATCGCTCCCGAAAAGGAATCTATTGATAATCTCTCAATTGGTTGGACTATAGGTGCGATGATTTATTTTACACGCAAGGTCTCTAATTCAAGTCTAGGATGACCATCTATTGATTCTCTTTCAATTGATTGGACAGAAGGTGCGATAATTTATTATACGGGGGAGGTCTCTAATTCAAGTCTAAGAAGACCCAATTGTGCCAACGGAAAAGAATAACTCGCCAATATGGCACACCATCATTTAACTACTGCAATTTTTTTCCTGATAGTAAATCACATGTATAGAAAAAACTGCCTAAAAGATATTTTAGAAGCTTTTAAAGGCCTATTTACAGGTCAACTCATTTTCTTTCGCTCAATTTTCCACCATACCAAATAACTCACAAGGTTCAAAGGGAGAACAATGTCCATTAAACTAATCACTAATTTTTCAATCACTTTTATCAGCAGAAATTGTAGAAAATTAATTTCGCAACTAACATTTGAAAAACTCTATAATCAATCATGTGTAAAAAAACCATTAGAAGTTTAAATTTTTGTACCTAACAATAAAATAAAAATTACATAGAGACATGAACTTATTCAAATCGATTCGAGTCAAATCCAGTAGAGAGACACATTACTAGTTTAAAAATGAACTTCAAAATTAATTGATTTTATAATTTGAATGAGCCTAAACCAAATCAAACAGAGTCTTCGAGTGTCGATCTTCGCTTTAAACTAACCAAAATACATTTTTCATTTGAACAAAACTCTAAAATTAAAATGCTACTTTATTTTACAAAATAATGAAAAATACATTTCAATCCTCCAAACAAGCTCAAACAGCAATCCACACCCCAAAAGAATTATTCTCAAAAAAAAAAAAAAAACACACACACACACACACAAACTTCACTGAAAAGGAGCTAGCAACTCAATAGTACTTCAAGGCCGCAATGGCTCCAAATACTGCTAGCAGAATTGATGGTGCAACACTGTGAGAGGGGTTGGCTGCAGATGAGTTAACAACTGGCCGGATCCCAGAATTTGTTGTCGGAGTCAGAACTGGAGTTGTAACGGTGGCTGGAGCCGGGGACAGTGGCTGAGGAACAGTAGAAGCTGCCAAGCAAAAGGAAAATAGTTCAGATTACACTAAGGTTAGCACAGATTCAAGTTAATGTTTGAGCATGAGATAGGGGAATTTACAGCTGCTTTTTTTTAGAAGAGATTAGTACCTTGAGGAGGAGCTGGAGTTGTGACGGTGGCTGGTGCCGGGGACAATTGCTCAGGAACAGTAGAAGCTGCCAAGCAAAAGGAAAATAGTTCAGATTACACTAAGGTTAGCACAGATTCAAGTTAATGTTTGAGCATGAGATAGGGGAATTTACAGCTGCTTTTTTTTAGAAGAGATTAGTACCTTGAGGAGGAGCTGGAGTTGTGACGGTGGCTGGTGCCGGGGACAATTGCTCAGGAACAGTAGAAGCTGCCAAGCAAAAGGAAAATAGTTCAGATTACACTAAGGTTAGCACAGATTCAAGTTAATGTTTGAGCATGAGATAGGGGAATTTACAACTGCTTTTTTTTTTCAGAAGAGATTAGTACCTTGAGGACTGGCGGAGGGAGCTGTGGGAGACGTAGTTGGTCCAAGTGTGATTGGACCTGTCAGCCAATAGTATAATTAATAAAAAAATTGAAGCTTTTTTTTTTTTTTTTGGGTCATAAAGCTTAATACTTGAAATAATTGTGAGTAAAAGGAGATACTCAAATTAAGAGTAAAACCCCGTATATATAGGCAAAATATAAAAATCATAGTAAAGGTAAAAAAGGGAAAAGAAATCCTAATAAACCTAGGAAAGAGAAATCCTAATAAACCTAGATTATCTATACTCCAACACTCCCCCTCAAGCTAGGCGCAAAAATGTCAACTAAGCCAAGCTTGACAACGGAGTCCCGAAGAATAGACAGAGTGACAGGTTTGGTAAAAACATCCGCAACTTGATCACTGGTCCCCACAAACGATGGAGTAACAAGACCACTGCTGACCTTCTCCCGAAGAAAGTGAACATCGATCTCTATATGCTTCGTTCTCTCATGTAGTACAGAGTCAGAAGCGAGCTGAATAGCAGATTGATTATCACAATATAATGTGGATGGAGAGGTCACTGAAAAACCCAACTCGTCAAGAATCGATCGTAGCCAGATAATCTCACATGTGCCAAGTGCCAATGCCCGATACTCTGCCTCTGCGGACGAGCGGGAGACAACTGCCTGCTTCTTGCTCTTCCAAGAGATAAGATGAGTCCCTCGAAAAGCACAGAAACCCGTAGTAGATCGACCATCACATGCTCCCCCATAATCTGAATCTGAATAACAGGCTAGAGAACCGGTCTGAGATCCTGATGCATAAAACAACCCAAGTCCAGGACAAGACTTGAGGTACCGAAGAATATGATAAACTGCATCAAGATGAGGCTGACATGGCCTATGCATGAACTGACTAACTCGGCTGACTGCGAATGAAATGTCCGGCCTAGTATTGGCTAAGTAGATAAGTCTACCTACCAATCTTTGATAAACTGTCGGATCTTTCAACTCCTCACCTTCAGCAGTAAGCTTCAGGTTTGGAATCATAGGTGATGATGCCGGTTTGCACCCCAACATCCCAGTGTCTGAAAGAAGATCCAAAACATACTTTCTCTGAGAAAGAACAATACCTCTGCTTCTACGGGCAACCTCAATCCCAAGAAAGTATCGCAAAAATCCAAGATCCTTCACATCGAAGGCCTTCCCAAGGTCTATCTTGACCTGCGCAGTCCCAGAAACATCATCACCAGTAATAATAATATCATCAACATATACCAGAAGGATGACACACTGTCCAGAAGTATTCCGTCGAATAAAGCAGGTATGATCAGAATGACACCTGGTGAACCCCAATCGTATGACTACATCACTGAAGCGAGAGAACCAGGCTCGTGGCGACTGTTTCAGTCCATAAAGAGACTTACGCAGTCGACATACCTTTCCAGCATACTCCCCCTCACCACGAAAGCCCGGTGGTGCATCCATATAAATAATCTCGTCCAGATCACCGTGAAGAAACGCATTCTTCACATCTAATTGATGAAGAGGCCAAGAGTACTCCGCAGCCAGAGAAATAATTAACCGAACAGTAGTCAATTTTGCCACGGGGGCAAATGTAGCACCAAAATCACGACCTGGTACCTGAGTAAAGCCCTTCGCCACAAGTCTAGCCTTGTAACGATCAATAGTACCATCCGCAAGAAACTTCAGGGTGTAAACCCAGCGACAGCCAACAGGCTTCACCCCTGAAGGTAAGGAGACAAGATCCCATGTATGATTACGCTGAAGAGCGTCCATCTCTGTCTGCATGGCAAGAACCCACTGGGGCTCCCGCATAGCTTCCGAAATAGAGCGAGGAACCAGCGTATCTGATAAGGCCATAGTATAAGCTCGAAATGTGGGAGACAGATTACCATAAGAAACATAAGCAGAGATCGGATATAAAATCTTTGCGGTCCAACCATATCGATCAACTGGACGGCGATCATGTTGCGAGAAGGTGGCTTAAGCTCTGGATGGAGCTTCCAGCAAGTAGCTTCCACGGGTGAAACGCAATAGCAAAGTTTCACTATCAACAAAGGGAGATTACACAAAATTCTCTAATCTAGAGAATAAAACCAAACATGGATGCCCAAAATTGGGGGCCAAAAACTCCCCGTCCTGACTGAGAATACATCTCTGATAATGCGCTCCATAGCTTCGGAACAGAGCTATGAAACTGGTGGATCTTGCAAACAGAGGGCTCCATTGAGCCAAATAACCATCCAAGAATGGCACAGTTTTCAGAGAACCATGCAGAATATCCAGGGTCGGCATCAGCTGTCTTTGGGTGAGATCTTGTCAGCCAACCAAGCTTCCTTACACGTCCTAAGAAAAGCTGGAATGAGCGTGACCACTCAGCGAAGTTACGACCATTCAACAATTGTGCCGTAACTTTTTTGAGAGATCATGCCCGGTAATGCTGGTAATGCAACTAGACCCGTTGAGATCTCGTTCCAAGAACCTAGATTATATTAAAATCTAGACCCGTCTGAAGAACCCAAATTACAAGCAAGAACGCCACAAAGGATGTGATTTACCTTTGATAAATTCAAAAGTTCAATCAAGAACAAGAGGAGTAAACTCAACTCAATTCACAATCAAAATTCATTATAGATTGTCTCAACGGTAGAGGTGTCAACAGTAGGGTTCTCAAATCCCTCAGTAGTAGCCATATCAACAACAATACTGGGGCACCCGTGACAGAAAAATAACTCTAAGATAAATAGAGGAATAAAATAAGGGAGAACAATATACCTTCAGTCGAACAGTAGCGACAAATAGGGAAGGTCCAAAAAGCTCCCAAATAATCAAGTCACGGTGCCCAGAAATCCAAAATATATAAATAAGTGATCTACTGCATCAAGGGCAGATCAACAGAATGTACAAGACTAAGGCCTAAAATTGAACGGAAGAGATTGGGCAAAAACGAGGGCCAAGACGAAGCGACGGCTTGATCAAGGCGGACAGCGACGGCGCCGTCACTTTAACCTCTCCTATTCAACTTTCAGGCAGTTGATGGCCAGGGTGGTTTCGGCGGTATGGTTGGTAGAGCCATACACTAACCCTACCCCAAACCCTAACCTTGCTCTGATACCAACTTGAAATAATTGTGAGTAAAAGGAGATACTCAAATTAAGAGTAAAACCCCGTATATATAGGCAAAATATAAAAATCATAGTAAAGGTAAAAAAGGGAAAAGAAATCCTAATAAACCTAGGAAAGAGAAATCTTAATAAACCTAGATTATCTATACTCCAACATTAATAATTTATGCAAAATAAATTTTTGCGGTTCAACTCTTGTTGTTTTATGGATCGTAAGATAGTGTAGAATCTGATGTTATCGGACATCCAACTAATGCGTATCGCAAATTCAACTTTGTGATCATATTTGGTATAAACTGTGTTTACTTGTACCATGGTTGGCCAAAATTTTAGACGACGTTTGGTAGAAAGTACTTTTTAGACCATGGTTGGTAGAGAGCATCTTTATGATTGCTTTGCACTTGTTTTATAGCCCTAATGCTAGATAACAACAGGTGGCCGTCTCTGTGTTTTTCTCTTTGTATTTTGCTCGTTTCATAGTGGAATACTCTGGTTTTTTCATCCATCTTGGGGTTTCCACGTAAATCTGTTCAGTCGTGTGCGTGCTCTGTGTGTGTGTGTGGCTTCTTCCAATTTTTTTCCCTCCTTTATGTTACGTTTTTATTGTTTGCTTGAGCTTGAGTTGAAGGAGCTTATTCCTAACATGAGAAGCCATAGACTTGGGAGAATTTGAGGTTTTATATGCTACCTGGAGGTGGTGAAGGGGCAACAGTGGCTGCATTGTGAGAAAAAAGAAAATGGAATTAGTAACTCAAAACGAAACGATTGAACACTTCAAAAAAATAAAAACAAACTATAGATTTTTATGCATAATAAAGATCAATGACACTACAAATTCACCATCACTGAGATGATCTGAATTATGGAAGTTTACCTTTGCATTGGAGAGGCACACTGGGCATATTGCAAGCACGTGGGAGAGAGATTGCCAGAGTCTGGTTGATTGGCATCTGGAATGGAGCATTTCCGGTAACAATAAGACACAGGCACTGTGTTCCATTGCCGGCGAGTGACCTGAGTGAATTGCAGCAGTTGGAACTCGGTGAAGTTGCATTAGAGGTACTGTTAGTAATGAAATTCATGCAAGGGGCGAAAGTAATAAGCATTGAAGGTGTGCATGAGGTACTGATCTGTCCATGAACTGGTATGATCAGAACAATCAAAGCAAGAGTAAAAAGACCAGGAATTAAGCGCGGAAAAGCCATGAACATCTCCATGGTATCCTTTCTTGGCTTTTTTTTTTGGGGGGGTAGCTGTTTACTTGTTTATATAAGAAAAAGTGAAGGAATTTGAGATGAAGAGAAATTTGTAGCTGAGTGAGTTTGAAAATTTGTTGTCAAGAGGGAATTTATAGATGAAGACTTGGAGCACTGAGATACAGGGAGAAAATCATATCATAGAAGTGGTTTGGGGTTCAACCACCTTAACTAACTTCAACGACAAGGAGATTTGGTGGGCTTCTGATTCTTGTGGCCTATTGGTCACCAGGAGATATGATCTAGAACACTAGTCCTCGGCATGGTTTAAAGTACAGGTTAACATCGATATGAGTCGATCGAGTTGTATCTGGCTCAACACTTTTCAAGATGATACCATTACACAATACATATAAATTCTGAATCTCCCAAGACTCGACGGTTATTATCATTGAATCGGTCAATACAATTCCATGCCGCAGCAAAATGATCTAAATCTCTCATCATGTTCAAATATTTCATTTAGGCAGTATTGTCTGATAATATATAATGACACTACGATCGATATGTTTTAGTGTTTTTCGAGTCGATAATCAATACTACAATCTTAAACCATGATGAGGGGGTTATCGGGTGAGTTGATGTTTGGGAACTTAGTCTTACAGTTTCATTTATTTTTTATCTTTAAAGAGTGTAACACAAGAACTTTCTAGGAGATCATTCATTTTAGTACTATTCTAGCGAGGATGTTTCATTGTAGAGTTCTATGAGAATACGGTTAGTGGCGGATTTAGCATGAAGGCAGCTCCCTCCACCGAAATTTAAAAAAAAATTGGAACTTAGGTGTAATTTTAAAAATTTTAAGAATTTCTTAAACTTACCCTTACAGAAATTTTCTTAAAGTATATGGTATATTAATATAATTTTCAACTCTTAAAAGCTAACTTTTGACAACTCCTCCTCATTTTGCACGCCTAGCAGTTGTCTCCATTGAAATTTTAAAAAATTTTGAGATCTAACTATAATTTTAAAAATTTTAAGAATTTTTTAAACTTACCCCACTAATTTTTTTTAAAGTATAGGATATATTAATATAATTTTAAACCCTTAAAAGCAAACTTTTGACAACTCTTTTTTGCGCTTGTTTTTTTGTTCTTAAGCCTACGTCTTCTTCATTCAGACTTCCAGTTCAGTCTAAGCGTCTAACGACAACCCCTCTTCGTTCTTTTATTTAGTTTCTTTATTAGTTTTTTTGGTGTATTCATCAACAAATCACCCTATTGGATTCAATCATTGTGCAAATCAAATTTGAAAAAATCTTAAAAGATTATGTTGAAGTTAAGGAGAGGTAATTCATTAATCGAATTTGTTGATAGTAATATTTGCACTAATCTAAAATCAGATTTTTTATATTAGAAAATTAGTTTAACTCTTNAAGACCAGGAATTAAGCGCGGAAAAGCCATGAACATCTCCATGGTATCCTTTCTTGGCTTTTTTTTTTGGGGGGGTAGCTGTTTACTTGTTTATATAAGAAAAAGTGAAGGAATTTGAGATGAAGAGAAATTTGTAGCTGAGTGAGTTTGAAAATTTGTTGTCAAGAGGGAATTTATAGATGAAGACTTGGAGCACTGAGATACAGGGAGAAAATCATATCATAGAAGTGGTTTGGGGTTCAACCACCTTAACTAACTTCAACGACAAGGAGATTTGGTGGGCTTCTGATTCTTGTGGCCTATTGGTCACCAGGAGATATGATCTAGAACACTAGTCCTCGGCATGGTTTAAAGTACAGGTTAACATCGATATGAGTCGATCGAGTTGTATCTGGCTCAACACTTTTCAAGATGATACCATTACACAATACATATAAATTCTGAATCTCCCAAGACTCGACGGTTATTATCATTGAATCGGTCAATACAATTCCATGCCGCAGCAAAATGATCTAAATCTCTCATCATGTTCAAATATTTCATTTAGGCAGTATTGTCTGATAATATATAATGACACTACGATCGATATGTTTTAGTGTTTTTCGAGTCGATAATCAATACTACAATCTTAAACCATGATGAGGGGGTTATCGGGTGAGTTGATGTTTGGGAACTTAGTCTTACAGTTTCATTTATTTTTTATCTTTAAAGAGTGTAACACAAGAACTTTCTAGGAGATCATTCATTTTAGTACTATTCTAGCGAGGATGTTTCATTGTAGAGTTCTATGAGAATACGGTTAGTGGCGGATTTAGCATGAAGGCAGCTCCCTCCACCGAAATTTAAAAAAAAATTGGAACTTAGGTGTAATTTTAAAAATTTTAAGAATTTCTTAAACTTACCCTTACAGAAATTTTCTTAAAGTATATGGTATATTAATATAATTTTCAACTCTTAAAAGCTAACTTTTGACAACTCCTCCTCATTTTGCACGCCTAGCAGTTGTCTCCATTGAAATTTTAAAAAATTTTGAGATCTAACTATAATTTTAAAAATTTTAAGAATTTTTTAAACTTACCCCACTAATTTTTTTTAAAGTATAGGATATATTAATATAATTTTAAACCCTTAAAAGCAAACTTTTGACAACTCTTTTTTGCGCTTGTTTTTTTGTTCTTAAGCCTACGTCTTCTTCATTCAGACTTCCAGTTCAGTCTAAGCGTCTAACGACAACCCCTCTTCGTTCTTTTATTTAGTTTCTTTATTAGTTTTTTTGGTGTATTCATCAACAAATCACCCTATTGGATTCAATCATTGTGCAAATCAAATTTGAAAAAATCTTAAAAGATTATGTTGAAGTTAAGGAGAGGTAATTCATTAATCGAATTTGTTGATAGTAATATTTGCACTAATCTAAAATCAGATTTTTTATATTAGAAAATTAGTTTAACTCTTGTTGAATTGATGGTTGATTAGTGTATTATTTATGGACTTATGTAGGTTTTTTTTTTGTTTTGCCTTGAGTCATCACTCAACTATTTTAGATTTTTGTTAAAGCTTATGTTCAGATTGGTTATCTGAGATTCTTGGTTAGTGCTATTTTTCTTCCCTATCATTAAATTGTTTTAATAGATTTCTTGAAATTCTAGTTAGGATTATATTTTGGATTATCTCATTTGTTACGAATTTAATGACGAACTTTTAAACTTGAATCTAATTAGATAAATTTATTTTTTAATCAATTATGAATAGATTACCTTTACTTAGACAAAATTTTGACTCCATCCCTGAATACGGTGTATTAGTGTTACCATGATCGTACCCCTTATGTGGTTCAGCATTTCAACCCGCAGGACTATGTCCTTGCAGATCTTTTACCATGATGTGATTCTTTTTGCTAAACGAGATGCTATGTCTTGATAGCCGGTGGGTATTGGCAACTGTTACAAATAATGAAGACAACAGTAATTGATATATGAAGCATCCTGATATAAAATATTACTTGAATTTAAAATATATACTTGATAATTACAATCATTAAATAGGTAATAAAATCTCAATAAATACTGAAATTTACAATAAAATCCATTTTTTAGGTCCATGTAATATTGTTTAATCAAATTTGATACCTAAATATTTGGTTTGACAACCTGTTATTAATTCTTCTTCTACTTGTCTTCTGCTTCCGGCAAATCAAAAGGCAATCTTTTACACTCAGGCTAGGGCAAAATTAAAAAAATGATAAATCGCACGTCACAAATTCCATCCACAAAAATCATATTCTGATTGTGCTTTGACTATATCAACTATAGTCGAACAATTACATGATCATAATCGATGATAGCATCATTGTGTCCATCGCTATTAAAAAACCGTACATGAGATTTTCATCTCATTCTACTTTTTTTTTTCTTCCATTTTTTAATCTTAAATAGGCCAGTAAATTCAATGGTTATGATTTTACAAGTTCATAGGTCCGGGTCTTCCAACCAAGTAGCTAAACCCCCAACACATGAGGAACTATTGACTGCAAGGGACCATATAAACAGTTGATTTGTACAAGTTGGTCACTCACTAACCAAAAGTGTATAAAAATACTGAGTTTTGGACACTTAAATGGTAGGTTGCCAGTTCCAAACCAAAAAATAAAAAATTCTAGGCTGCTAGGTACCATATAAACAATTGATTTGTACAAGTTGGTCACCCACTAACGAATCATTGGTCTCTTATTATATCCTAGTCTCCCTAACCAAGCCACAGGACAGGGTTTAGAAGTCTATTAAGTTTTATGGTTAGTAATCAAAGAAGGGTTTTAAAGGTCTCAAGTGTCTACACCATGGAGAGTAGGAGAAGTTGTTTATCCACATAGCCCCATCTCACTGACTATTGTTCCCAACTTCCCCTATATAAACCACATCTCCCTCTCTCTCTCTCCACTTCCCCCAAAACAATCAAACTCATATAATCAGCTCTCTCCCTATCTCTCTCCTTGCTCCACAGGCATTTCCAGCAAAATAACTCATTCCAGAGCACCTGTTCAAAGACCTCTGATGGCACATCAAAGAATCGAGATGGGTTTGGTCTTCGCCTTAGTGACCATTCTCTGGGCAAGAGCCACTGCACAGTCGAACGATTGCACGAACGAGATAATTAGCATGTCTCCCTGCCTCAACTACATCAATGGTAACTCCTCGACCCCATCTTCAGGGTGCTGCACACAGCTTTCCAGCATTGTCCGTTCAAAGCCACAGTGCTTGTGTGCGGTCCTAAATGGTGGAGGCTCATCCCTGGGGCTTAACATCAACCAAACTCAGGCTCTGGCATTACCTGGTGCTTGCAATGTTCAGACTCCACCCCCAAGTCGCTGCAATGGTAAGATGCACATGAAAAGTTCTCTTTCACATCTTAACCAAGCAAATTTCCTTCTTGTGGTGAAGAACTGATAGCATTAAGATAATCTGCACTAACTTGTGCAATCTCGATGTGGCAGCTGCTTCTCCAACTGACTCTCCAAAGGGAACTCCAGAAACTGAAAAGACAGAACCATCAGGTACCATAATTTTCTCTGTGTTTAACCGCAGATGATGGCATTGCTCTTGGCAACAAAACCTCAGGAAGTCAGCAACTTCAGCCTTTGGTTTACATGCTTTCTCCACTGTTCTATCAATAAACGGATAGGTTCAACCATTACCGGGATGAAAAATCTTCAACTTAATTTTTACTTGTGCAGGACGAGGATCTAACACGGTACCATCAACAGACAATGGTTCATCAGATGCAAGTTCTACCAAGTTAGCAGCTCCACTGCTCTTCTTTGTCCTATTCGTTGCATCATACGCTTCGACCTCCACCATGTGCTGAGTCTTCTCTCTGCAATCCTTGTCTCTCATCATGCAGTCCTATACAGAAACATTATTTACTGTATGCCTTTGTTTCCTTCATTGAGTGCCTTACGTATTTAAAATAAAGATGATTCCGGCCTTATGAACTAGAACAGAGGGTGCAACCACATAACAAGGAACATGAAATGAAAATGTCAGTCTAGTATAAAGTCACGAATCAAATTTACCAACATGAAAAGCAACAATGAAGAATTTCACATGTGGATGTCCCTGAAGGAGAAAATCTATATATAAAAAGTATGACCTTCGAAAAGTTGCATTTAATACATAAAGAACGCTCATCTTGAGAACAAACCTTCGACTGTGACTGGTTTAAATACAAAACAGAGTTAATATAAAATAAGAATAAATTAAAGGTAAAATATATTTAAACCATGACACTGGTGTTTAATAAAAGAAAAGAAATGGCGAACCTCAGTAGACACAGAAAAGATCCACATGGCATCCTTGTAAAGGTCACTTATGTCCATCCACATTGTGTACGATGCAGTCCTCACCAACAAATACTATTCTTACCACCTCAACAAGCATTTGTTTGGAAAGAATATTACATCAATAAAATTACAATAAGAAAATATACCGGATTTTAAACTGAGACTGATTTGGCACCATGCCAACATCCAAATTGAATCAGCCAAAAATCAGTAAATAACCGAACTTCAAGAACTCCACAGGCAATCAATACAGTGAAACTAGACTATTCCTTGTTTATAGATGATTTTGAAATTTGAACTATATGTGCCAGCAATCACATCTGCAGCCAACAGCAACCATTTATTACATCCATATAACACCTTAAAAAATTAATTTCCCTGACCATCTCAACCATTTATTGCACCCATATAACGCCCAAACTGCCACCCCTCTAATTCTCAATCATCAAACCCCATCGCAATTTCTTCAAGATAAAATCAGTCCTACTACTATATAAAGGAATGGTGATCAAAATAGTACACAGCAAGCAGATTCTTTTAAAAGCAGTGACAATGAGAAGGGAGAATATATTTGGACTTCTCCTTAACAAACAAATGTGTTATAATCTCCATCACATCATAATACATTCAACTGTGGCCCAATCTGAAACCTAATTTTGTCTAAATATGAAAAATAGATTATGACAATCCTAAGCCTGGTGACCTCCATAAACTTGACCATTATAACTGTCTTAGCATCAGTGCCAACCGAAAAATTGTCGACCAGAAAGAGCAAGACAAGTAAAATATAGCTCTCACTGTACAACTTGGCACACCTCAAGAACGTGATCTCGACCGCATGAATTCTTCTAGTCTCTCCCACACCTCAAGCGCTGCAGCTCTGTCCTGGTGCCGCTTGTTCTTGCTAATCTGCACAATAGTAATAGTATATGAATTTATGTAATTGACAAGATATGTAGTGGAAGTAATTAATAAACAAACATTTTAAAACTAATATCTGGAAGTGTTCAAAGAAAAATATGATCACCGATATAATTTTCACATTCCACTGCTTCACATTCTTTGCTGACTCAACACTATCATCCTCAAATCGCATGTAAAAGCCAAGAACTGCCATAAATTTAAACAAATACATTAGCTCATCAATTATATCTTTATCTCTGCACATTGCTGTACAAAATATAGTATGCATTCTGTAGTCTACCAGGACTTGGTAAGCTTTACGAAGGTCAAGAACTAAACCTAAATTATTTATAGAAATATGCAAAACTAAAGATGCCATGTAGCACCTTAATTCCATCCCAAATATCATAAGAGAAATTAAATGTTAATAAGACTTTTCATCTTCATCAAGACCTAGAATTAATCTAACCTTTAAACAGATCCATGGCACTCACTCGAAATCAAAGTATCACACATAATTCCACAATCAAATTCAGTCTAAAGGCAATCCAAAATAAAGCTCATATAAACTTACTCTTGTTAAAAATCTCAACATGGTCCTTAAAAGGCCAATCCTTGAACTGCCACTCCTTCCCCAACACAAAAACCGCCACAACCCGATCCCAGTCTTCTGCCTTCAGTGCAGACGGCTTATCCCTCACCTCATACGCCGTCACAACCCTATCCCTACTAAACTTCTTCTGCACTGTAATGCAGTCGGGCCTTCCCCCCGTCATCTGCTTTACCTTCACATCCGTCGGAATAAAAACCCCATCCTCCAAAAACTCCTTCACATTATATATTGTAATCAACGTCTGAAACGCACTCGGTACCAAAATGATCGGCACTCCTTCCCCCATTTTGCTCCCCTTAAGATTCATCTTCGCCTTCGCCGCCCCATCAAACCCTCCCATTTCATCCCCAATTATCCTACTTTTCGCAACTAACCCATCTTTCCTTTGCTGCTGTTCCAATTTCTGCCTTTCCTCATCTCTCTTCGTCGCAGCCATCAATATACTATAGAAATCCCTATTCCCACACTCCAAAATCTGCTCACAATCTTTCAAAGGTTTTTCGATTGCTCGGAGGATTAACACAGGGTTTTGATTTTCCAAAACCCTAACTTTCGCAAAATCAGAGAAATTCAAGTCGTTTTCAGGGGGAATCAAATTGGAATCCTCGGGACGGTACTCGTCGACAAATTTAGTGTCCGATTGGGTGGCTAGGAATTCGAATTCTATGGAATCGGAGGAGAGAACTTTGCCGGTGAGGTAATCGAGTAAGGGTTTACGATCGGGGAAGGTGACGGTGCTTATACGATCTGATTTAGCGCTTTGCATGTACTCTGTGTGCTTGAGGTGGTGGTTCTTNATGGAATCGGAGGAGAGAACTTTGCCGGTGAGGTAATCGAGTAAGGGTTTACGATCGGGGAAGGTGACGGTGCTGATACGATCTGATTTAGCGCTTTGCATGTACTCTGTGTGCTTGAGGTGGTGGTTCTTGATGAAGAAAACTAGGGTTTCGAGAGTGTACCGACTGCCATGGCCATGTTTGGATTTGTAGGCGGTTTCGATGGAGGCAGGAAATGTGTAATCGGTGGCGAAACGGAACTCGTCGTTAACTCGGACGATTTTGTCGAGCTCGTTTCGGATCGTGAAGTCTCGCAGAGCAGAGAGAGGGTCCATGGCGACTGTGTGTGACTGTCTATGAGAGAGAGAGAGAGGAGGTGGACGGAAAAGGGTTGGGTTTGGGTCGAATGGCAGTTGGGGGGGTAAACAGTGGTGGGATGTAAATTTGGAAAGACGGCGGGGGTATTTTGGGGATGGAAATAGCGTTTTTGAGGCCTTGTGAATGAGAGTGAGAATTAGACAGACTAACGTAGTGTTATATGGCTGTTTTCCTGGTGAGAATTACATTTAACCGGTCTTATCGCGTCTGCGTTTTTAAATTCGAATTAAACTCGAATGATACAATTCTTATTCAAATCAATTTTAACTTGAATTTTATTTAGACGAATTAATTAAATTGGGTGAATTTTGGATCTCATTCAATTTCACTTATGTTGAAGTTATATAATTCAAATTACAATTAAGATTCAACTCGGGTGAATTCAAATTATATCTTAATATCCAATCCAAATAGTGTACGAATTTATTAGATTGAAAGGTTTTGCTTGAATTTGTTTCAATTAGTCAGTAAATTTTATTTATTTTCCCACTCTAAATCCGAACTCGATAAAAATTAGAAATTTTTTAATATGAAAATTATTCTAATTTGAATGATAATTTACAAATGCATTTTAACAATGAAACCTTAATATCTACTCCATTTAATCAAATCATTTTTTATTTTTTTTAAACTTAAGTTAGTATTAATGATGGGTTAAATGTTCAACAAGCTCTAGATGTTGTGACGAGCTAGATCCACCCTCCAAGGTATCTGCCAAGGCAAATCGAAGATCAGAAGGGCTTCAGGGATCGACCCTTCAATTGCAAGTCAGAAAGGGTGGAATTGAAGAATGAGAGAGAGCATATATATATTGGGGTTAAATTTACTAACCTTTATCGACTCCCCTCTTATAAGCCATTTGGTTAGGTTGTTAGTGGATCTCGCTCTGCCTATTTCAACTGAGTCAGTTGTGCTTCACTTGTTTGATCCAATCTTGTTGACTAAGTAGAAGTGATATTTGAGTTGAACTAGTGAAATTTATAAGCCAAGACTTTGCCGAACTCAAGGATTGGGAGGATGACGAGGTGGAGCTAATTCGAATTATCAAGTTCGGCATTCTGAACGTGTTTTTTTTTTCCTATTATCAAGTGTTATCAACAAACGAATCTATAAACTATAGCGTAAATGACTTGGATTCAGATTCGAATCAAATTCCGATTCATTATCCATTTTAAATCATATTTTGACACAATAAAAGGCCTAAATCCAGCTATCCATATAACACTAATGATAAGTTACACACACATAAATCAAGATTCATAATCCACCTACTACATCAAATTTTTATTTGGGGAAATCAGGAGAGAGAATGCTAAACATCACCAGATCAACTGGTTCACCCTTAAGAAGACAATACTTCCTAAGAACACCTTCCCTCTCAAACCCAGCCTTCTCCAACACCCTAAGAGAACCTTAGTTATTGACCTCCACCAGAGCCTCCAATCTCTTCAAGTGTGGCCACTCCATAAATATATCTCCAGCTGCCATTTTCACAGCCCTTGTCATAATCCCTTTGCCCCAGTACTTTACTGCTAGGACATAACCAAGTTCACCTCTGCAACTATTATTCCCACCATTTTTTGTCACCGAAACCGCCCCGATAGGCCGGTTTCTCAGGCATATTGCTCTGTACCAAGGGTGAGGAACAACATTATTGATAATATATTTCATGGCATCTTCTTTGGAAGGGAAAGGTTCCCAAGAGCAATACTTAGTTACTTTCTCATCTGTTGCCCAGACCATGAAATCATCGATGTCGGCGGCCGGGTCTAATGGCCGGAGGGTCATGTCTGAATAGTCATCTTCATCATTCACTTCTTGACAGTCGGATTTGAACTGTATTTCTTCCATGTTTGAAGTGATATTGATGATGGTTGAGGATTTGGGTAGCTGTAAGAGAGAATATATGAACTCAGGGCCAAACTTATTGATGAATTCAATGAGTTTTTGCCCTGAATATATGCATCAAAATGACATGAACTTCTTCCAAGAACTCGGGTTGAAGTTTGTGATGACTGAGTCAACCAACCTTATCCATTACACGATTTGTTTAGCCACCCTAGTTGACTCCGCCCAACTAAAGTTAAATTTGGGAGAGAATTTTTTGCGAAATATTCGAGCGTTAAACTTGTACGCATACTAAACTAAAAGTTTAAACTCGTCTTATATTACGTGTATGAAGATAATGTACATAATTCTTAAACGGGGAATAATTAAACAATGAATATAAATATACATTAAGCTGAAAATTATTTTGTCATTTTTAATGTCCTAACTTTAGTAAAATAAAAAAAGTAAAAATGCTTTCGTTTTAGTTATTAGAGAGATAGTTAAAACCTAAAGCTATCATTTATGTTTTTTAATCTAAAAGTATTTATTTTGTTGTTTTAAAAATATTTGGACATAATTTCTCCTAAAAATATGATCCCAATAGATTATCAACATGTATAGACAATCAATAAAATACTAATTACACAACCTACCATCTAAAAAACAAATAAATTGTGAAACAAATTGCAATCCTCAACCTATATTGCACCCAAGTTATATAACAAATACTTACTCTTCAACCACCACTCAAACATCATGCCACTTTGGAGACCACATAAAATCACAAACTAAACAGCCCCCATTACCCACATAAACCAAGAAACCAAACTCTATTAGTTATTTTTTCAAACATCTTACAACCAAGTCTAAAAAATAAAAATTAAAAAATTGTGAGCATACTCAAACGAAAAAAAGAGCAAACTAAATTGGAATTGGGACACAATAACAAACAAAAATCAATGTGTGTTGCAGATTGGTCTATGCGAGTGTGGGTTGGGCAGAGAGGAAAGAGTGTGTGTGTGTGTGTTTGTTTTGTGTGTGTGAATTTTTTTAGGGGGGGTCAGGTTTTACGCAAGCAAAGAAAAAGGGGGGGGATTATATCAAAGCAGGACACAATGTATTTTCAAATCTTTAAAAAATAAAAAACACAATTTTGGATTAATTTTGGATTTTTTTGCTTTTTTCAACTAATCGTTTTTCCTGAGATACAATTTTTTGGTTCAAAGTAGGTGCAATGTATTAAATAAAAAATATTTATTATTTTGGCCAATATATCCATCACGAGCTTGTAGCTTATGAAGTAGCTCAAAATTGGTCATAGTCTGCAACAGGACACAATATAAGTTTTAAATAATAATTTCATAACTTACAATGAATATAACATCTAAGACTTAAATTCATGAAAATAATACTTGCATTCCTCGCAACAGGCGCCAAACATAGCATGTTCCACGGTTGTTTGCAGCCACGACCAAGCTTCCATCCCATATTACTGTCAAAGACCTTACAACTGTATCGACCTCCGACACCTGTGTTTACACCTTAGATAATAAAAAGATTTTGATACAAACCTACCTCTTTAAGAGAGAGAGAGAGAGAGCGCACCAAAAGGCAAACATCCACATACCCACCAAATCTATAATATAAAAAAGAACCATAGATTTTCACCAAGACAATGAAACAAAGTTTTGGGCCCATCAAAGTGCATAAGTTTTCTTATCAAAATATAGAGCAAAAAAACATAAAAAGCAAAAGACCACTTCATCAACTTTTGATTGTGACTCTGGTCTAAAGCAGAAGATGCAATATGTAGTGAAGGTACAGAACATCAGAGCATACCAACTCACAATTGCATGAATTTGCCGTCTAGTCCCATACTCAAATATTGCCATTTTGGTCCTCAGATATCAGTTCAGTCTGCAATGGCTTAAAACTATTATTAGACAAGAATGTTAGACTAATGACCTCAAACAGCATGGTCTGTTACTTAAATGCGTAGAGAAGTACCAAAAACAGTAACAAAGTATTTAAAAGTTCATTTAGAAACATGTAGCAAAAGGACAGAAAGTTATTAGTTCCTATTGCTTCAAGTTCTAATAACTTTGTACACAGACAGACTAAACACATGGGAAGAAAGCACAATGACATGGAGCCATGGCCTTGACATGAGTCATAAAAACTCATTATTCCAATAAATACCAAGAATCAGCTTAATAAAAGCACAAATCTCCAAAAAGAATTGAAGTTTTGGTCCTCAATTGCTCTCAAACAAAAGAAAAAGGCAAAATAAACATAAAAAGGTTAAAAGCTGAACAAACACCGATAAAATTGACATGACTATGCATATAAAACTTATCAACTTCCAAGTGCTCATTTCAATAATTAAAATCTTATTAAAAGAACCACAAAGCTGATTCATCCACAAAATTGGATAGACAAAGAAAAAAATTAGAGTTTTACCTTCACAATTTCTACACACAGAACTGCTTCTAGTGTTCATTCTTTCTTTGAGGCTGTTTCCAATTTGCTAACATTTGCATTCAGTAAACCTAGAGCACATATATCTTTCATTACACCATGATCAATTATTTAAATATTCAATAACATGTTCAGTAACACTACTACCAATAACATATTGCATGTAATTATAACATCACATATGAATCTCATATCAAAATAGTTAGCGTAACAAACAAAATTTCAATAGTTAATATAAAAAAATTGTTATTTAAAAAAAAAATCGACAGAGTTCTCTTTAAAAACATGATCTAGTACAACATATCAACCTGTGTACAATTCATAATCAAAACGTAACTAAAAACTATCTTGCATCAAAAATCTCATCACATCACATATTGTTGTTACCTTTATTTATCAAGTGCTGCAATTTAATGACCCAAATATCTAATATCAAAATGAATAAGATACAAATATAAACTGAATTAACACCAAACTTAAGCTAATATGAATAACTAAGTATATTCATTCACCCTACATAAGCCAAATAATCATCAATTAAAAAATTAAAATTCACTAAACAAAGTTGAAACTCGAGCACTGGTTAATTTTCAACCTTGTTAAAATTAATTGGGGTCCACCAATTTTTGACAGAACCCCAAAGTCATCGCACTCACCAACCATAATCCTGCCTTAATAAAAAGATTTACTAACTACCACAACATAGACGCACTAATATTCATGCAATTAATGACCAAACAACAAACTTTTTTCCTTGGACAACACATAAACCCACATGAAAATCACACACATTTCTTATTTTATAATCCCTTGGTTTTAACAAAAAAAAAAAAAAAAGAATTACAGTTTAACCATCCGTTTATTTTGAATCAATGTTGATCAAGCTGCGAAAGTAAGGGAATAAAAGAAAGAAATATAAAGTAAAAGAAATAAATAAAAGAAAGCAACTTTAGCATGAATACAAATATCATTTCTTAAAAAAAATAGTGGATGAGTTCTTGATATCCAACTACTATGCAGATGAAGTGAAAAATATACATTGAGATGGTTGTTAGCGCAACTTATTAATCAAGACAATTGCAACCGTGTAACATAGAAATAGAATTCTAGTTAGGTGGTTCTACTAAATTGATTTTTCAAAGCATGTTATTATGTTAACTGCTCCTTGAAATTTTTACTTCTGCAATAACAGAATTTCAATTAAGTTAAATCTACAACCTCTTGTCAAACATGACAGTTTTATCACTCAATACAAAATCAAGGAAGAATCACTTATAATAAAAGTGAGAATCACCTTTTAAAATGAACACTTAATCCAATAGCAACAACATCCATCATTTTGATCCTATTATTTAAAACATAAAGATTGTGATGAACCAACAAAGATAGCCATTAAGCAAAAGATACCTAGTTAACAATATTTAAGTAATCAATTAAAAAAATTAGAGAAAGGAAAAGTGAAAAAACATAACAAAGTAGTCGTATGATGAAAAAGCAATGAGCTAGATTTTAAAAAAAAAAAATAGGACTCATATGATGCAACTATCCAAAATTAGACTACCAACTGAAAATTCCCTTTTCACATACCTAGTGTGAAAAAGGTTGCACTTATGAAAAAGCTTTGAAGGGATGTTGAACTAAGGCTAGGGATAATGAACTAAGGCTGGGAACCGTGGGATTGCAATACAATCACATGCAAAGATCACAACATCTATAATACAAAACACTATTATTTACTTTTGAGATTGTTGTTTAGAGACACAAAACACATAGAGATGCAAAAATATAACCATGAAGACACTATATAACACACTGTGTGTGGAGTTTTTGGATCATCATAGATGGAATTCTTGTTCTTGGAAGCTACTATTTCCACTATGTATCTTGTAAATTGACCTGCAGAATTTTTGTCACTGCTTTGTCGAGAAGCATTGCCGAAGTAACATACGCCACCATTCTCAAATTGTTTAGTATTTGCAATATGGGGGTTGGCATTCGGGATCCTTAAAATTGGAGAGATCCCTAAAATTGGATCCAAAAGAAGAGCAATAGATTACTAACCCAAACAATCAAATAAACTCAATCGGCAAAAATATATGAACGACTATTTTTTAATTGATTTTATTCCATCAAGCCACCAGGCCTACCAATTTTCACTACAAGCTACCAGAAAATAAAATATACGACATGCAAATTAGGAAGTGAGCAACATATTTGAACCATAAATTAGGTTATACAATTGAACAATAACAACACAATAAGTCATTTCTATTATTGTTGGAACCCAATTATTTTACTTGATTTTCAGAGAGTGACTTTCTGCTTGTGAAGCTGAGGCTGAGTTGGTGCTTCCTTGGCCTCGCGAGCAGCTCCCTTGGCCAAGTTCGTCTGGTGCCGCTTCTCCCTGTGTATGGACCAAGTAATTCCCCTCATTGTTGTGCAGTGTCAAACAATGCTTGCACTCATAACTTCAAAATCCCAATTTTCACAGCAACATTAATTTCAACTAATCATTTAAACACACACACACACACACAAATATATATAGAGAGAGAGGGGGAGAGAGAGAGAGAGGTAATTGGACATGTCGAGATGATTGCGCATGAAATAGGGATCTTTGGCGAGATCGATGGTTTCGAGGGCGAGTCTCCGCAACCGTTCACGGCAGTCGATGGCTTCATTCTGGGCGGAGGCGGCATCTCCTCTACCGGGCTTCGAACCCCATTCTCTATCCATCTCTTCGTCTGCTTCATTCTAGGCGATGACTTTTCTCGTGTTCTCTTGGAGG